ACAAAGACAAACATATAGTGCGAGTGATTTGTTAATAACAATACATACTGCGAGCGATCTGCCAATACAATTTCGTTTGATTTTCAAAGGCCATAAATCGCTAGAATACTGGTGTTCGGTAATACACTTGACATCCGTAAGAACAATTTCTTTATACGCTGAGTCGAACGGTGTCGCTTTCTTCTCAAAATATAGGAATTGGTTAAATCATCGTGAGCATGTTCAATTAAATTCACTGAGCTATAATATTACACTAATATTATAGCTCAGTGGCTAAATTGCGCAATCCTGAGCCCACGATGCCGCAATGGAAAGTCACACTTGCGACAACAAAAAAAAAAAAAAGAGAAAAATTCCTTGCATTCCAGCGAGGGCAAATTATGACACTGGCTGCGGCCAGTGTAATTACGATAGTTTTCCGGTGAGCTGGGTGTGAATATCAGAAATTTTGAACAAAAACTTTTGAAATTATGTTTATTTAAATTCAGTCTATTTTTTCGTTTAATTAGCCGGCGAATTTCTCCCGCGACGGTGCGAGGTCGACCAAAAAATCGCTAAAACTTTGGAACTAAATATATTTTCAAAATTCGAAACAGCATTTGTTTGTTGTTAAAGTAAATGTAGTTCACGCTAAAAGTTTCGAAGAAATTTATTTTTCGAGCCCCAAGGCAGTGGCCGGTTTTTAGAGACACACGCTCTTAAGATTTGATGCCTTAAGCAAACATTACTATTCCACACAATGTAAAAATTCTCAAATCAGAGTTAATATCAATCAAAAGTTTATACCTTGCTATACTGTTCGTTCGCACACACGCCATATGGCCGCGAGTTGAGTAAGGAACATACCTTCGAATTTCGCGCTGACAATGTCAAACCCAACTTCAACAAGCCATATTTTGACATCTTCAGTTGTTGATTTTGACGTTATCATTTTGTTGTGCTTCGTGAGATTATAAATGAGGCGAAACAACGCACTCCAAAACATTCGTTACCGGCAGCGAGAAGACAATGCGACAATGCGTTTTGAAATTTGAATACAAAGGCAAATCCGCCCGCATCCTAGCCTACGGTGTAGACCCCAGCAGAAACACGTTTCGTGAGGGGTCTACGAATAAACGAAGAAAAGCTTGCCCGGTCTACGTCATATCCGTTTTACGTTTTGGGTAAATTAACTTCAATTTATTCAAATATATGATAATATGAAGTGTGCGTAAATGTAAATTTTCATTTGGCGTGCAATAGAAATGTGTTCTTTGCTTCAAAGTCCTGTCGAATAAAAGCGATATTAATTTCTTGGACAGCAAGGAGAACATACGTAAGGAGTTAGACTACCTCTCCTTCTCCATTTCACCTGCAAATAGCATTTGTAAAGCCTGTCTGGCGTTAGTAAACAAACGGAGATTGAAGCTTGAAAGAACGGTTATGTGAGCTAGACAATACAATAACGAACGTGTACGAAACAGCATTAATTAAACGCTATTGGTATACCGCTTAAAGTAAAGCGAAATTTCATGAGGAAACTGGGATTCGAGTCGACTTGCGATAAAACTTTTATGCCGGCTACATTTAGCGTGAAATCGACTTTATCTTCAACTAAGAAATTGGATGCCTTGACAAGCTTCAACAGCCTAACAGGTTTGTATGAATGACAAGGACTTTTTAGTCCGTTCGGAGATGTGTTTAATAGTTGGATATATATATAGTCAGGGTATATTTTAACACGACTTGTTGTAAGTGCATGTTTAATTCAAAAAATTCTTGTCATTCGTACAAACCTGTTAGGCTGTTGAAGCTTGCCAAGGGGTCCAATTTCTGCAGTCGAAGGCAAAGTCGATTTCACACTAAATGTCTAAATGTAGCCGGCATAAAAGTTTTATCGCACGACATTTCGCTTTACTTTAAGCGGTATATCAATAGCGTTAATGCTGTTTCGTGCACGTTCGTAATATCGTATTGTCTAGCTCACATAACCGTTCTTTGAGCTTAATTCTCCGTTTGTTTACAAACGTCAGACAGGCTTTACAAATGTTATTTGAAGGTGAAATGGAGAAGGAAGAAAGAAAGGTCGTCTAACTCCTTACGTACGTTCTCCTTGCTGTCCAAGAAATTAATATCCCTTTCATTCGACGGGGCTTTGAAGCAAAGAACACATTTGTATTGCGCGCCAAATGAAAATTTACATTTACGTACAGTTCATATATCATATGTTTGAATAAATTGAAGTTAATTTACCCAAAACGTAAAACGGATATGACGTAGCCGGGCAAGCTTTTCTTCGTTGATTCGTAGACCCCTCACGAAACGTGTTTCTGCTGGGGTCTACACCGTAGGCTACCCGCATCCTGCCTTGTGCTTGGTTAATCGTAACATCACACAGCTTGAAAGCATTCATTGTTTGGACTTTGGATTGCAGTGCCCGTGAACTTGTATATTTATATTCTGCCTTGTGAATTGTTGACATATCGCACACGTTTGATCCTTGATAACCTTGGTATCGTTGGTTTCCATGTTTGTGGCCGTATGGCAGTGGATTCGTCTCACTTTTCTATTAATTTTGGAATTATTTTGAGCCCAAAATATTGAAGGTTTTAAAGCGCAGTTTTAATCCTAACGTGCGGATTGCCTGCACTGGCAACCGGCAGGAGAACTGATATGTATAGTGTAGGCAGAAACGGCGCCGTATTAAAAGTTTTATTTCTAAGCCAAATTTCCTCAGATCATTGACTAAATAAAGGTTTTTCACTTTACTTATATGTGAGTACAAACTAAACTTTGTACTCACATATTTGAGTAGCTTTTGCTGAAGGTGATTACTCAATTTACTCGCGAGTTTGAGAGTGGTCTTCATTTACTCAAATAAGAGTAAAAATATAGTTTTACTCAAGATATTGAGTTTCCAAAATATATTCGAAGCTTGAGTAAAACAGATTTTGTGATTTATTCAAGTCAGATTGAAGTATACTCTTCTCTTTTAATATTTTTACTCAAAGCATTTAACTCAAAAAACGAAGTCTTTTTTTACTCAAATGGCTGAGTAAAACAATTCTAGCAGGAAATATGAGTAATATCTACTCCGCAAATTGTTGAGTAAAAGTTGACTTTACTCAAAGTATGAGCCAAATTTACTCGTGCATTTTTTTGCAGTGTAGCTCAAATTTACCCATGCACTTTTTGCAGTCGTTTGTTTATGGACTGTGGTATATCTGTCTGATGATTGATGAGGCGGTGGTTGGAATGGCAGTTTATATATAAGGGTTCGTTATCGGGTTTTCTGTAAGGTCGGTAACTTTCATTTTTAAGGTCAAGCGTAACGTCGAGGAAGAGTTTGCACAGATCTTTTCTTGCATTGTCTATCACGCGTCGATCCACTCTTTCCTTTAATTAAAGCCATGCCATCGTCTCTATATAGTCCGACGAAATCTTTGCCAAACTTCTTTGAGAGGTCGTTTAGGATATATAGGCCGACTAGTTCGCATATGTCGGCTCCGTCGAAACAACCCATTTTCACGTCAAATGAGGAATTGTTATTTCGTTTAACCCAAGGATTTCCGTTGTTAGTGAAAAGAAAGGATTTGCGTGCGTGCTTGATCGTAGTAATATGTTGCTTGGAAATAGTTATCATCGTCTGTGCCCAAGAGATTGCCTTATCGAGAAGATCTTCTGTGATAGAGGGATAGAATTCTGTAATATCGATGGTCAAGAACGAATACTTTGCTTTGGTGCTAATGTTGTTGAACCATTCAATTACTGACTGAGTGGCTTACGCCAAGTGGCTTACCTTCAAAAGTTGTTTCAAATAAATATTACAATAACCATGCAGTAAAAACGGTGGCATTTGGATGGTTGGCAGAGAAAGCTTCTGCAGGAATTGGATTAGTTTTAATAGCCCAGAAGGTTTATGCAACTCCTGCCTGATGCAGACCTTCTGACAAACCTACAATTAAACATTTTGTACATTATACGAATTTATTATTTAGACCGTTTAACGCTTACAACAGTTTACTGAAAAATATGGATGCCACTTTTGTACATCAATGAAATATTTCACCAATATTAGGAATGAGATTTCCGCTAATATAATTTTTGCATGAAAAGTTATGAAATATTTCTAGCCTAGACTTCTTTACTTACCATAGATCACATACATATGCTGCAGCCTAGACTTAGGCCTTCTATTTTTATTTATATTTTTTAATATTCAGCGCTTTTTCACATAAAAAGATTGGGACTAGGTGATTTGAGGGCGGGGCGGAGGAAGGACGCAAGCGAAAAAATAGAAGGCCTAGTGGATTTCCCAACAACAAGGCCAAAACTGCCCTGAAACTGCCCTGGTTGTGAAATGCCCAATTAATGCGTTCTCAAACAGAATTATTTGCAACTTAACAGCGAATTTAAACCGATACAGGTAAAATAAACTCATTTATAGTATAAACTTACTATTTTTATTTATATACACGTCTAGAAAATCGGGTTTTTTAACATAAAGTTTGAAACAACACTATTATTATGTTGACTAGGTGTAGCGGAAGCACAAAATGAGTCAAAATATATACCAAAAGTAGAATCTTTCGTGAAATTTTGTCTTATACACAACTATATAAAAATATTTCCTACGGAAATATGGTTTTTTATGTCAAGCCTGAATTATAGTGATAAGATAAAAGTAGGAAATAGTTAGATTGGATTGTGGCAGATTAAGGTGGGACTTGGCGGAGAAGGAAATTCCGGTGCTTTTACCTACGTAAGAAACATAAAGTCAAGGCCAAACTTTAGCTACTAAAAGCAAGGCAAAGTTATTCACTTCTCAATTCAATCTTTCTCGTGATCGAGTGAAGACATAGGAATTTTCTTTGACGTTTTGGACTTCTTTTTTTTACCATTATACAGGTGAGATTTTCAATTATTCTTATTCTTATATTATTCTTATATTTTGATACTTTCAATTTGGGTATTGTGGAATTGTCACGCCCAAAAGTTCTTGTTTTTGGTCACTCGTTTGTCAAACGTCTCCATCGCGATTTGCGCTCTAATTTCGACGTCCGTGCGGCCCTTAGTTTTAATATACAAAGGGCCTCCGTAAAATTGCATGGAACTGGGAGATGCACAGTAGACAAGTTGATCGCGTTCGATTTAGATAAAGTTCGTTCATTTCAGCCTGCCATTGTAATTTTGGAAGTTGGTACTAACGACCTTAGCCACAGCAAACCCGAAGTAGTGGGTTCCAAAATCGATGACCTCTTTCATCTTTTACTTCAGCTCCCGTATGTTCAGATAGTAGGGTTTGCCTCATTACACATCGGGCAGCTTCCCCGGAGTTCAACAGGCAGGCGTTTATTTAGAGGTCGTTCTGGACGGTGTTCCCAACGTTTTTTGCTGGAGTCATAAGGGATTCTTACAGCGCGTAAAATATCCGTTTCTACCAGACGTTGTTCATTTCAATCGTAGAGCGCAATACACGCTGTATCGCAGTTATCGCGGTGCTATTCTTAAGGCTTTAGCAAGCCTTCCTAGTTGTTAATCTGTTATCTTCGGTTGTATGTCTTTTACACTTTTATGTCACCAGATACTGCTTAATTTTATTTGGATTTCTTCTTGCACGAGGCTACGCCCTCACACTTTGATTCTGGTGTTGGCTATGTCCACACAGAAAATGTTTTATTTGGAAAAGTACTCCATATACTTTATAATCCTTGTGAGATTTTATTCTCGTTTATTTGTGATGTCTACGTCCTCACACGTGTTAATCTGAGGCTACGTCCTCATTATTTCTTAGTGGTATTTTATTGGGCGAGTGGTGCGGCCACTTTGTTGTGTGCCATGCTCGACCCAGCCTATATTGTAGTTTTATTTTATCTTGGTAGATTTTATACTTCATAAGCTTTTAATATTCTCCCACTACGTTTCTTAGTGTATTTTTCAGGAATTTTACCATGCCCGTCACTCGAAATTAACGTGCTCAGAGACCAGTACCGGTAGCCGTACCACCAGCACGCCGTTCCCATCGCGTTCGAACGCCCCGTGCCTCAGGAACAACCACGACGGTTCCTTCGTCCAGTTCTCCTCGGCCAGCAACAGCAGTTCCTCTTGCTCCAGCCTCGGCTATCACGCCCCAACAGCTCCAAGAGATCGTCAGCTCCGTAACGGCCGAAGTTACTCGACGCCTGTAAACTGTAACAACTCCAGTTCCTGGTGTCGACGCAGCAATTTTTTTCCGTAGACAGTCGGACTCCTCATTGATAGTCGGACGTATCATTGACCCGCGCCCTTAGACAAATATTCATTGGATACTCGTCTTATTCATAGATATAGGAGATTTAGATTGCTAACGTATACCTAGGGCAGGTGGGGCCTACATTATAAATCCAAGATGGCGGTACAACAGGGCAAAAAGACTATAGATTCTATTACGAAAATCAGGATTTTTGCAGTTTTTGCCGTCGCATTGTTTCGAAACTTATTCGGTCAAGTTTTATGGTAAAGAGAAACATACCGCGACCATTTTGAGCATATATATGATTGTATTGGATGAAAACTCGCAAAATTATCCATGGATAAAAGTTCGTGTGAAATGGTCACTTGGTCAGTTCGAGTGTTTTATTGCCAGAAATACTGTGCCATTTTAACATCTAGCCTCGTGAATGGTGTTTTATACTGTTTAAACGTGAAATCTATTTTAGGATCATATACTTCCCGCCTTTGTGAACGTAAGATTGGTTTTAACGTCATAACACAATTACTTGTACGTTGTTGGTTTTAACGTCAAAACACAGTTACTTACAAGGATTGGGGCTAGCTGGCTAGGGACCTAACAGAAACCACATGGCTATCGTTTAAGGCCCCTATTCCCTAGATCATATATTTACAATAATTAAAATATAAAATGCCAATTCAAATGTTTATAAAATACAATTCCAGTTAAATATTATATGCATACTGAAAAATCTAAAAAAAATGTGGTCATTAGCTAAATGACAGGAACAATAACACAATTATAATTTTATATTGAAAAAGAATAGTTACTGTCAGTCTGTCATAAGCATGGATTTTTATCCCAAAATATCAGCTACCGGGTACCTATCTATAAAAGACGTAAAAACATAAATCCATCCAAAATACAGTAAACAATCTTGACTGGACAGTATAAATACAATATGTCCATTTCATATATAATTCTAAGTCTTGGGCATTCTTGACCTGAACGAATACGACTACCACAATTAATTCTCATGCTATTTCTCTACATCTTTCACAATGTTTGTTGCAAGTATAAAACACCATTCACGAGGCTAGATGTTAACATGGCACTGTATTTCTGGCAATGAAACGCTCGAACTGACCAAGTGACCATTTCACACGAACTTTTATCGATGGATAATTTTGCGAGTTTTCATCCAATTCAATCATATATATGCTCAAAATCTTGGCGGTAAGTTTGTCTTTACCATAAAACTTGACCGAATAAGTTTCGAAACAATGCGACGGCAAAAACTGCAAAAATCCTGATTTTCGTAATAGAATCTATAGTCTTTTTGCCCTGTTGTACACACATCTTGGATTTATTATGTAGGCCCCGCCTGCGCTAGGTATGCGTTAGCAATCTAGATCTCATATATCTATGGTCTTATTAGATGCGCCTTCCCAGTGTGTCTTGCGCACGCAATTGGTGATTTCAAAATCTGATTGTATTGCTAGCGCTTGGTTGAGATGCCAAAATCTGAGCAGGACACATTGTGGCTTCGTGTCTTGTGTGGTGATGACATCTAGCATATTTTATTAATCATGTTTCGCTCGCTACTCTGGTTTAAATAAGTGATTACAAAGCCCAGTCGAATTGTAATCAAGACCCAACGTTTCGACACTCCAGCCTAGTGTCTTCATCAGGGGTGATCTAAAATTGCAATCGGTGGCTTCTTATAAATACCCAAGGAATGACGTCACCTGCCAATGATTTGCATATATTCCTCTGGCAAATAGGCACCGTTATCTCTATTCAAAGCATAATTACTCATATTTATATGCCATATAAATATGAGTAATCATGCTCATATAAATATGAGTAAATAGGCACCGTCATCTCTATTCAAAGCATGATTACTCATATTTATATGCCATATAGATATGAGTAATCATATAAATATGAGTAATCATGCTTTGAATAGAGATGACGGTGCCTATTTGCCAGAGGAATATATGCATCTCATTGGCAGGTGACGTCATCCCTTGGGTATTAAAGAAGCCACCGATTGCAATTTTAGATCACCCCTGATGAAGACACTAGACTGGAGTGTCGAAACGTTGGGTCTTGATTACAATTCGACTGGGTTTTGTAATCACTTATTTAAACCAGAGTAGCGAGCGAAACATGATTGATATACCTGGTTGCAGTGAACGAACAAACTTTAAATATTTTGTTAAGTTATATTCGCCATTCCCACTTGCTTTTGGAGCGATTGCAGAATACCCGTCCACTTTTTAAGCTACGCCTTTCAAACATATATTTATTTTCAATAAATTAATAATAAATAGATTGATAGATTAAAATCCCATGTTGGTAAAGGTAGCTACAAGGCATACAGTGACTTACAGTGCATTAATAGATTAAAGTGTCATAGTGTTAAAGGTAGCTCTATATTCTAGTGGATACGCAGTCAAGTATTTATTTTGAGAACGAGGCATACAGTTAGATTAGCATTAGATCAAATTCTGATGTTATATGTAGCTCTATATTTTAGTGGATACGCGGATACGTGGATACGCAGCCAAGTAGTTATTTTGAGGTTAATGCGAAAATATGTAAATATGTTCCTCACAACCTGACATTGATGTTTGACAGATTATGATTAATTAGCGTCGCTGGGAGAAATTCTTTTATATTATATAAAGCATACTAAAGCATAATATTAAACGTTAAAAGTCTTGCATGATATTTCCTTTATTATATCAATTCGTAACATTGTCTTAGTAGTTTGTTTGTGTATATTAGAACGAGGCATTTGGCGTTGTAAACTGAGCGAGGACAATGTCTAAATTATTCATAGCCTATATTGTAATTTTTCAATTATTTTCAATGATCTATTGTATTGGTAGCCGTTGCCGTCGCGTTGCCGTCCTAAAATCGTAAGGTCTCTATTATCACGCTTGTTGACAGGTGAGATCTCGGTGACCGCCGGCGGTTTTTCCCACATTAACACAACGTAGCCACAACTTTCCTGTCGTGTCAGCAACTTCTCTGTTTTTAAAATGTATTTTAGGGCCTGTTCGTATGAGCAAAGTTATCCTGGTTAGCGAGAAAACATTTTGAAAAGTTTACAAGCGAGATCTCGCCTTGGTTTGAAAATAATATGAAAGGTTACACTGCGTTCATATGAGACAAAAAGTTTTCCCATGTACTGAGAGCTCGCTTGTTGACAGGCAAGATCTCGGAGACCGAGTTAATGTTTTTCCCATATGAACACAACTTTCCCGCTTAATCAAGTTAGGCTCGAGTGAAATGCGATATACTACACAGGACGAAAAGTGCGTCATTAATTAGCTTTAAGAAAAAGACTAAAGATATTAAATCTCACTTTAAATCTTTAATATGTGAATTAAAGTTGTTTAAACCACAAAATACATTTAATCACATTTAGTAAGACTAAAAGACGTGTTTTGTCAAACCTATGCATTTAATTACACTTAGTGTTGGGTTTAATTCCGTATAAAACAGACTTTAAACCATGCAAATTTTAGTCAACTTTAATGCGTACTTTAAACTTGATTAAAGACAGCCCTGGGTTTAATCGCCTTTAAATATGAATTTAACGGAAGCCAAAAGCCGACAGCGTCATTAATTATCTTTACTGCGACAATATTAAAGGGATTAAAGACAATCTTGTTTATAGTCATGGTAACCAGTACACATGAAGATATTCGATACCACTGATACACTATTAGACAAGTGTAGCCTTATTTGACTGCAAATTCGCTGTGATTCTACATCAACTGAGAAGTTAAACTCTATTTTTCGCTTGGTTCAATATTAGAAAGCATATCGGCAACATGAGTAACGTTGGGAACTACTTTTTTTGCGATCACTGCCAGCAAAGCGTTTCAAGAAAAACACTCAGGCGTCATATGGCCTTGGATCAATCTCAAAAGTTAAAGCGAAGTTTGAATAGAGATTCGTCTACTTCTTCGTCGGAGACTGATGGGGAAAATTATTGTAACAGTTGTGAACTTGCAGGTACTGTATATATTAAACTTGTGCAAATGCAATAGTCAGTAATACGTTATACGTATATGTCGAAATATTACGTTTATATTGACATACAAGGCTACATTTTGCTACAATATTTTTTTTATTATTATGATTAGATGAGGCCTGTGTAGTTTCTGATAACGCTGTTCCTGACTCAAATATGCCAGGAAATTCACGTGTAACTGATGTAAGTACCTTAAGTTTAACACTACAGTAGTTCCAATTGTAACTTAATTGTGTGTTTGCGATGTTACTCTGAGTGCATATCCACACCGGGCGAGCTTGAAAAATATGCCCGGCCACGGTGGGATTCGAACCTACGAACCCAATGCTCTTCTGACTGAGCTTCGCGGTCAGGACGGTTCGAGTAAGTGATATTTCGGAACAGTATCTAGTTCCTTCAATACCAATGTGTTCTAGTAATATGAATTTTTCTGTGTTGGTGTTGTGGTTAATAAGCACCCATGGGTAATGTTAAGGCTAAGTGAGCCTATAATGAACAATGGTCACATCAGATAGTTGTGTTACCCATTAATATACAACCACCTGGGTCTTCCTTTGACGAGTTAAAACATTGGCTTTCATCAAACAGACTTAATGATCAGACAAGCCATTTACTGGCAAAAATCACCCCTCAACAACTAAAAGTATATTCAGTTTTGTAACTTTACTTTTTTGACCACTTGCCCTCAGGGCAAGTTGGACATGAAAATTAGTTGACCTGAGTAAAATTTACTTGCCATCAGACAATGGCCACTGGGGAACCTAGGCAGGGGGTATAAATTAAGGGAACAACATATCAACCCGTTCTCCCACTGCTCTCTATGGCTATAGTCGTGTTTACACTACAAGCCTTGGCCTGGCCTTGGCCTACATTTTGACAGTGTAAACAGACTTTGGCCTAGCCTTGGCCTGACCTAGGCCAGGAAATCTTGGCCCACTACAACCAGTGGCCTAGGCTTGTGGGAATGTAAACACTTTCGGCCCTGGCCTGGGCCTTATTTTCATGGCAACGTGTGTCCACAGTGAGATATTATCAGACAACCAGTAGTGTAAACATGACATTTGTTAGTGCCTCAGATCTAGCTTTGGCCCACAAAAAAACAAAATTTGAATCAAGTATACATGCACTATAAAGAATTTATCAGACAATGAAAGCATAAATTGGGTCATTCCAGAAAACATCCATACCTCCCCCACAGAGGAAATTGGAAGTTAACCCCCTACCCCCTTTGGATGTCCTGATACATTTACTATTATCAGAAACAATTTTTTCTCCCCTCCCCCTTTGGATGGCAGAAATTTCCTCTGTGGGAGGAGTGTGGATCTTTTCTGGAACAACCCATTACCAAGATGCCCAGCTTTTTGTGGCAAGGCAACTTGCATTGCCCAATTGAGCAAGCAAGATTTACTTGCCCGTCATGGTATTCACTTGCCCTGGGCAAGTGTTAAGTTACCCCTCTGACATAGCATGACATTTAAAACACATCGTTCAATCGGCACTAAGAACTACGCTTTTATAAACATAGTATATAATACCAAGACATTAACATAAATTCACAATGGATTATCATGACGGGTTAAAAATTACCCACTGAGTGGGCATAGACCCATGCATGCATCATAGGATATGGTAATAAATTTCTCTATTAATCAATTTAAATGAAATCTCTTTAATCTAAACACTGTCAGAAAATGGTCTGAAGAAATTTATGACATTGATGTGCCACAAACTTCCAAAACAATCTGTGTAAATGTCATTCATGTCGTCCCTTGTCTAGTCTCTCTGTTAAATCGTGTTTTTAATAATTATCACTTATATGTATTCTGTATAAATAGTTAAGGTTACCCATACAGGAGTGTTCAGCTCTGTCGGTATAACTTGTCATTTATCTGACAATGATTGTAAACTAAAAGTAAAAATAATGCAGTAACACCAATTGGGCAATGCTAGTCATGATTATTGGCAGAGAATGTGTTTCTCATTGTTTTAAAAGCAGATATTTCAAATTTTTGGAGACAATTACATGGAAATTATTAGGGAATTGGTTCAAATGGACCTGAAAAGGCAACATTTTTCGTGTGAATTTTGTGACCCACATGCCCTAAAAATGATGGTGTTGTCTTTGCTGAAGTGGACAATGCCTTTTACTTGTTTCTTAATTTTTAATTTAAATTAGGCTTATAGTCAGCAAGACCCCCAGCTGCCATGTTGCCCCCCGCACCCCCCAGTTATCCATTTTGGCCCCCAGTGAAAATCCTTTTTCTAATAAAATTGGCAAAGAATCAAAGAATAATTTAATTCAACAGAATGTATTAGCACTCCTGTATTCAGTAATCCAACTTTGCTTTGCTGAATATAATTCCACATTTTCACTATATATTATGATATATATTGTTGTTCGGTTTGGTGGTCAGGAAAACAAATTCAATGTTACTTTGACCCCACTGTCACTATAATCTTTACCGGTTAATAGAAGCTAATTCCTTTCAGGTTTGATAAAACATCAACATATTATGATCTCATTTAATATTTTGATACTACTTTTTAATAAAGTTTGTATTTTTTTATTGAAATGCAAGTACATTTAGTACAATTTTTTGAAAAACTTTGGAGGCTTAGAATGCAGGAAATACTATTTCCAGACTACAAATTTAAAAATGTTTTCCTGGGAGGGTTTATTCCCAGATGGCAGAACCCCTAGTGAAGCATGGCCTTTTGGCTACAATCACCCTTCTATGTTTGTACTGCCTGTGGGGACCACAAGTTAACTTAATTTAGGCCATTGCCCCTCCCCCCTCCAACTCAAAAATTCTTAAAAACTACACTGGCAACGACAATCTATAATAATTATGGATATAGGAATTTAGTCTTATGCGACCTGCTAGGGCCTTTCTAGTAAAAAGTAACAAAACCCTACATATAACCAACTAAAAATGGCTTGCGCATGAAATTTAAAAGCTTTAATCATATTTTGAGCTAATAGATGGAAAATTTGTTGGGTTTTTAATTACTGTATAAAATATCAGACAATTTGCTTCAGTTTAACTATTCATTTTTTCCTAAAAAATCAGCCTTTCGCATGCTTAATTAGGCAAAGGCATTAATTAAGAATGCAAATAGCTGATTTTTAGTAAAAAATGTAAGTTTGCGCGAAAACTTAGGCAAATTGTTTGAAATTTTGTACAGTAATTAAAAAGCCAACAAATTTTTTATCTATTTACTCAAAATATGATTAAAGCTTTTAAATTTTGTGCGCAAGCCATTTTTAGTTTATTGGAAAAGACACACCCCACTGGTTCACAAAATGAGTTTGAGAATTTTTTTCATTATTTTACATTATAAGTACCCAAAGAAACTATATACATAAAAAACTGGATACTAATAGCTGTTTTGCAAAATTGAGAGCATTTTCAAATCTGTTCAGTTTTTTTATACACCCTGTACTGTAATTTATAATTTATATAGATATATTGCTATTATTCATTCCATTCCCATATATACTGTAATTTTTATTTAAAAGTGTGAGAAATTTATGTTGTATTCATATATGCATGTGCAAAAATGTAGCTCTATTTAGCAAGATATACATTTTTGTACTGTGTAATGGATTTTGTACTAATGCAATGGAAGTAACCCATCCTTGGCTTGAACAATTAAGTAAATGAAGGATTTGCCATTGTTTTTATTGGTGCAACATTTTCCATATATTTACTGCATACTAACAGAGATTGTAAGCTAAGTTGAGTTTACAACTATTTACTATGGATTCACGAATGTGTTTTGCAAGATGGGACAATTAGTTAATTGTTTCTTTTATGTAACTGTACCTTAGGTTACTGAAAATGATGAAAGCTCAGGTGATTGCAATGAGGCAAATAGCGATTTGTCAGAAGATGCCAGCACTGAATTGTCAGAAGCTGATAACACTGATGATGAAATTTGGCCTGAAGTATCAGAGCAGCTACTAGATCAAGACTTATCTTCAAAAGAGCCTCTTCCGGATCCTGCACCGAAGCGAAGGAAAGTGCAAGTTGCCAATTCCATTCTTCAGTGGTTGTTGTATTTTCTTTTAATCTGGCAAGCCGTTTGCCACGTAAGTGACAATGGCCTAGCATGGTTGTTGCGTTTTCTTCTACAGTTCCTTAAAGTTTTGAATATCCATCTAACTGGTGAGCTTTTGACGGAACTTATAGCAATGTTTCCGACCTCACTGTATATGGTTCGCCAGATTCTTGTTTTAGATCGCGATAATTTTACTAAGTATGTTGTTTGCCCCAAATGCACTGCGTGTTATGAATTATCATCTGTAACGGACAGTTGGTAAAAAGAGTTGTTTTGAAAAACCATGTTGTTAAGTACTACCCAATTTATTATTATTGTTACTCAAGTCTGTTAAATTCTTTGGAAAAATTACTTGAAAAACCTGGCTTCCCTGAAAAATGCGAAGAATGGCGAAAAAGAGGACAAGTGAATTCAGAACAAATGACAGACATTTTTGATGGTCAACTTTGGAAAGACTTCCAGAAATATAACGGCAGTGATTTCTTAAACGCTCCCAGAAACTATGGACTGATGCTTAACTTTGACTTCTTTCAGCCAATGAAACACAGGAAGGATTATTCTGTTGGCGTACTTTATTTAGTTTTGCTTAATCTACCTCGTGCTGAACGTTTCAAATGGGAAAATGTTTTAGTAGTTGGCATCATTCCTGCAATGGGAAAGGAACCGAAGAATTTAAATTCTTTCCTGAAACCTCTCGTGGAGGAACTGAAAGCGCTGTGGAAAGGAGTTCGTTTGGTATCAAGTCTTAGCACAATACCACTCATATTTAAAGCAGCTTTGCTGTGCACCTCCTCAGATATACCAGCATCACGAAAACTGTGTGGGTTTAAAGGCCACAGTGCAGAATTAGGTTGCTCGCGATGTCTCAAGAAATTTCCAGGTGGCTTTGGTGAAAAACGGAATTACTCGGGGTTTGACGAAGAAAGCTGGCCAAAACGTAAGAGTGAGAACCACAGGCGTCAAGCAAACAAGATGTCTCAATGCAAGACGAAGAAAGATCAGGAGAAGTTGTCGAGAAAGTACGGTATAAACTATTACAGTGAACTGTTAAAGCTCGAGTATTTCGATGTGATAAGGTTTTGTTCCATAGACCCGATGCACAATCTTTTCCTTGGCACTGCAAAATATATATTTAAGCACTGGGTAGCAGAAGGAATTCTGAACAAAAAAGACCTGGAGACATTGGAAAGAAGAATAGACGGACTCGAGGTACCCGTTGACATCGGAAGACTGCCAAAGGTAATTTCTTCAAATTACGGTTCCTACACTGCAGAGCAGTGGAAAAATTGGACGCTTGTTTACTCCTTGTATGCACTAAAAGGTGTTTTACCCGAACAACAATTTAAGTGCTGGCAGTCATTTGTATTGGCATGTAGGTATTTGTGCAAGCCCATTGTATCCAATGGTGACATCATTCGCGCGCATTTTTTGCTGTTAAAGTTCGGTACAGAATGTGAAACGATATATGGTAATAACTTTTGTACACCTAATATGCATTTGCACTGTCATTTGAAAGACATTATTCGTGATTTAGGACCCATCCACTCATTCTGGTGCTTCAGTTTTGAGCGTTATAATGGAATACTCGGAAGCTTCACAACTAATAACAGGTCAATTGAGCTGCAACTTATGAGGAAACTAACAACACAACGGTTCCTAGACAATATGATTCTGGACAAAGATTTACACCCATACTTTCAAGATGTCGTCACTTTAGTAAAAAATAATGCCAGAACTAATTATTCAGTTTTCACAATGTTGGAACTCCTTAACTTCTTCAATGTCGACGTGGCACCACTGAACGTGATTGATTGGAAAAATAATTCTGCTATAAAACTACCCCTCTGTTACAAAGAAAGAAGTGTTGATAATGACGAATTGTCTCTTCTGTTTAAAGTGTACAGTACCATGTTTCCAGGGAACAATATCGTAATTGAACAGCTAAGCAGAACTATGAATAGATATAGTACCATTGAAATTTTCAACCAACAATTTGGTTCAAAGTCAGCGTACAGAAGTAAGCGATCTACAGGGATTTTAGCCGCATGGCCGGGATTAGACGGCGAAATTGATTTAACACAAAACACTATGTCATTTGGAATGATTGAGTTCTATTTTACGCATTCGCTGAAGGTTGGTGAGGAATTTATGATATTCTATTTTGCATGTGTAACCTGGCATCAAACAGTCGACGACACAAACTTTAACTTAAACCCTTTGTGTGTGGCAAGCATGAAGGATAAGCTACCACTTGGATCTTCGCGATTTTTACCAGTTCAGCGAATTTCGACAAAATGTGCTATTGCAATTGAAGAAAATGAGCATAACGATAAAAGGTACATTCTATCACCTTTACCACGTCACTTTGTTTCATAGTCGGTTCTTTTGGTGCATTTGAGCAAATTGTCGATAGCGGTTAACACGAGTTGTCTCTTAAAAGTTCAAACTTTTTATATTATTTATCAAGTACTGTACTAAAATTATGGCATTGTCGAAATAGTAAATCAACGCATAATTTCGTTGCATTATAGAAACATCCTTACATACATTTGTTGATTATATAGCAATGAAACACAATAAAACTGTAACAGTCGCAAGCCAAACATTGCACTGATCGCTTTTGTCTTACAAAGCCAATCAGAAAAATCACATATAAATTTATCTGCCAAGTACGCTGTCAATGTGAACACGGTGAAGATTTGGCACTTTTTATTAACGAATATCGTTATACTATACGATGTTTTTGATTCGCTTTTATTAATACTGTTTGTTAAATTACCTTTTGTTGGATGCAAAGACTAAAACTTTTGTTTCAGTTTATACATATAATTATAATAGGTGTTGGGGGGCATGGAGGGGGGTAAAGGGTTGGAATTGACTGGGATTGGTGTGAAAACTGAGCAATTTCACATCTATAAAGTGTCCCATATAGTTCCCATGTCCAACCAAACTCCTTTTGCTCTCTGGCAAAGGTGTGAAGGCGGGTGCTGGCGCCTTAAAACCAGTGTGCTCCTTTAGACCTTGAATAAGGGCTGTCCATGTCGGAATCACAAGCTTGCCCTGTGGCATTCCGTGTTTCCTAGGCATGCTGATGAGCCCTGATATTGGCGAAACAGTCATTTTAACCTTACATTTCCTTTACCCGAAAAACCTAAAACATACGTTCTGTATATCTATAGTGGTTGTTTGTCCACAGTCGAAGACATACGGTATTAAAGAAAATATAAATTAAACTAGAAATATTTATAGACATATTAATACTTTGTATCTACGGTTTATACATGTACTGTATAACTTTTGTAAAAAAAACAGTTTTTCACACAAATCGTGTTTCTCCGTGCCTCATGGTGTCCCCTACTTTATTATATGCCTACTTTTACTCTGTCTAACGCTGGACAAAAGGATTGACAAGGATTGAGAACTATGAACTCTGTCATGTCGTAGACAGGTTTTACACATTTTAATCGTGTAAATTGATGCAAGCTATGATACTAAGTTAAACTACTGTACAAAACATTAATCTATATTTCAGGTATTGGATCGGTGTTCTAGGTATTTTTATAAAGTTCGTTGAGCTCTAAAGCTATATCAATAGCTTCAGGTCGTCGTTCAGGTGTTCCATTAATACATTTTTTGGCTATTTTCTGTAGACCAGTTGATTTAGTGTAATAAACAACCAATGAAATGATTTGACCAAACGAATAAATGTCGCTGGCTGCAGATGGGGGACTCTTTCCCCAAATTATTTCTGGAGCTATGTGTTTATAGAATTTCAAATAGCGATCCCGCTCCTTTGAGTTCAGTTTATAAAGTCTTACATTCTCTTTTTTTTTCATTTTCCCAAAATCAATTATAACTGGTTTTCTGATGCCTGTACTGTTGTGCAAAATAATATTATTGTGTTTAATATCACAATGAATATACCCTTTTATGTGAATATGACCAAGAGCACCACAACATTTCTCCAAAATAAATGCCCATTCCATGACATCTAGGGAGAGGTTCTTTGCTGCATGATCAACTGTTACACAATTTCCATCAAGTCCATGAAATTCGGTAACCAATGCGTATGGTTTGGATTGAATGTGGACACCAAATAGAAAAGGCAGACCTTTACAAAGGAAAAGTAATTTACCAAAATCAATAGCATATTTTGAAAAAGGTACTGTAACTACCTGTACCTAAACTATTTCATCCATGAATCTTATATTTACAATATAATTAAATTTTAGACATTTATTAGTGAGCACTGTGTCTTGCCTAATTAATCATATAATATATATATATTAAATAGTTATGATGTATCATATTCTCAAACTGCGAGAATAAATTCTAGTCATGCAAATTTTCAAACATTTGTATTATTCAATCTCTATAGAAATTCATTGCTCACAACATAGCATGCAGGTTCAGTCAGGGATTGATTTAGGACTGGGTGTGCAGCCCCCCCCCCTAGCCTAAGGGGGTGCAGGGGGGTGCTTTTTTCAGGATAAAGGAAAGAATAATTAGAACTGTGAACAACAATTACAATTCAAAAACAGTAGTCAAACAAGACTTTGCAGTAGTCAAGCAAGTTTATGGGCGGGCAGCGCACATGACCGACACAAAGCTGGCAGAGCACCCCCCCCCCCCTGCCAGATCTTGCTGGATCCATCCCTGGGTTCAGTAGCATAGCATTACAAGTTGCCTTTAGGCATGAGCTGATAACGTTAACAAACATAGCTGATTACGGAGGCCAATTGTTTCTAGGCAGATAAATCGTGAAAAATATCGGCTGATTAATCGGTATCTGCCAATAATTCTAAGTAGCAACACAAAACGAGCAACATGTAGTTGTAAATATGTTTTTATTTATTATGATACAAGCTAGTCAACTCAAGAAAAAATCAACCAACTTATCTATCATCAAAGTTAAGAATACAGTTAGTATAGGTAATCATGCGATGGCGAGTACTATTAATCCCTAATTGTACGAGCAACATCGCATGATTACTTGTTTATTATTAGCATGACAAAGTTGGATACGTACTTCTCAATGTCAACATCATATTCTCTCGCCAAAGCCCAGTCCTGCCAGACTTTCAACCAAAATTTGGTGCTTTTGTTTGTATTTTCATTTAGTTCTTTTGTTCAAGCAAAATTTGGTGCTTTTGTTTGTATTTTCATCTAGTTCCTCCACGGCAATTTCATTTCACGCTTGTGTTTAAAGTACGTTTCCGCCATTTTGTTTGTTTTGGGAAAATCATTAATTGTACTGCAGTACAATTAATGAAATAATTGTACTCCTCTCAACCAATCAGCATCCAGTAATTTTGTCATGCTAATAATAAATTCAATTAGTATGTGATGGTGAGTACAATTAGGGATTAATAGTACGAGTGATGTTTGGAAATTTAGCCAAAATTGTACGAGCTGCCGGGGCGAGTCCAATTTGGAAAATTTCCAAACATCATGAGTACTATTAATCCCTAATTGTACGAGCAACATTGCATAATTACTTGTTTATTATTAGCATGACAAAATTGGATACTTCTCAATGTCAATATTGCTCTAGGCAAGGCCCAGTCCTGCCGCACTTTCAACCAAAATTTGGTGCTTTTGTTCGTATTTTCATTTATTTCTTTTGTTAAAGCAGAATTTGGTGCTTTTGTGTGTATTTTCATCTAGTTCCTCTAGGGCAATTTCATTTCACATTTGTGTTTAATTAACTGCAGTACAATTAATGAAATTATTGTACTCCACTCAACCAATCAGCATCCAGTCATTTTGTCATGCTTGGAGCTTAATAGCCTGCTCCATTGAATCTAGTATGATAAAGCAATATTGGACTAGCAAACCACAGGTTGCGGGTTCGATCCCCACCGCGGTCAAGCTAACTTTTCAGCTAGCCTGGTGTGGACACAATTAGAGAGCAACATCAAACATATATCTTCACATGAGTACATAATCAGCAAAAACAGTATTGCACCAAAACTCATACCTGGGTGATCAAATGATTGGATCATCAGTGCTTCTTGTTCAACATCCATTCTTCTACTTTTGTCTTTAAACTGCTTCACACAAACCACATAACCTCTATAACGCTTTTTTGAACAGATGCCAAATGTTCCTTCTCCTATTTTGTTGTCGTCTTTTTCAGACAATTCCTTCAAGTTGGCTAACTCAATTTCATGAAAGGCAGACCTACATAAAATAAAAGCTGTTACATATGGGTATTCAGATTATAATGTGTTTGTAAGATCATGGGCAAACATTAGGTACATAGTCTTTTTGACTCATCAATGCTTTTCCTTTGTGCATGTGAGTGTATGCACCATACTGTACATAAATGAGTAAATTGGGATTGTGCTTGAACAATTTCACCCTGGAATATTTTCCAGGAGGTTGGACTACATTATGGTAAATACACTATGCCCAGGAGAGAATAAATAAACATTTTGTTTTCCCTAACCAATTTCTTTCGCAAATAGTGTGTTATTCTGTTAAGACAAAGAGAGGGATTGGGCAGGCGACTGAGAAGTAATTTAATTTCTCTGGAAAATACAGTGAAAATTGTATTAAGCAGACACCCTTGGGGAATAGGGTAAAGTGTCCACTTATCAGAGGTTCTGCCCCCCTTGTGAAGAAATAATTAAGACATAAATTTCAAGAAATGAACGGTGTGCGTATATTTACAAACGATTTCAACATTAAATTAACATGAATATCAAAATGGCAAAATACTTGGTGAATCAGGTTCTTCAAGACCATATGTAGTTTATAAGTAATAAAGTTGTGTGAAAACTGTGCGACTGTTTTCGTCCTTCATCACCGGTAAGCTACTTTCAATAAAGAGATCTAACAATGAGCAAAATTTGTAAAGATTATAAAAAAATATATAATTTTGTCAGTTTGACACAGGTTTTTTTGTGTCTTTATGTTCCAATTTAGGTGTCCGCATGACCGGCATCTGCTTAATAGAGGTGTCCACTTGATAGAAGTTTTAATAGTTTTATCAATTTGGGGCTTTACAAAGTACTCCCTTAATTAATGCAGGGTTCCCGCTTAATGCAGGGCTGCTTATACAGGTTTGACTGTATATGTCAAATTCCCAACCTTTGATTTGAAGATTGTTAAAAACATAAATTATTCAGAAGAATTAACTGTTTCCGAGTTATAATTATAATCATTAAATTTTTAAGCAGGACAAAAATAAAATGTTCAGTTACAATTCCCCATCATATATACACAGCCATAAGCATATCTTCCGACTGGAATTCCTCAGGGTAAGCATATTATCGACCTCGAATTCCTCATCGTAAGCATATTATCTGACTGGAATTCCTCTGGGTAAGCAATTAAATATCTGACCGGAATTCCTCAGAGTAAGGATATTATATTATCAGGCTGGAGTTCCTCACGGTAAGCATACTATTGGACTGGAATTCCTCAGGGTAAGCATCTTATTAGGCAGGAATTCCTCAGGGACAAAAGCGTTGGGGACCATGTCCTCAATGGGAGGGGGGGGGAGGGTACATATAATAAATGGAATAGCCCATTAAACAAACCTATCCAGACTATGTCTGAGTACGGTAAGTACTGTTGTCGATGCCATGTACGGTAAGTACTGCACATGGTCTAAATAGCAACATTTACTTTTTAAAACAATTGCTTCATGCATGTCACATGATGAATATCGAAGTTGTCAGTATTGATGCCAGTTATTCAATTCTCAGTATCATCATTCTTATAAAATATTGCCCACCACTAAATACAGTATATCAAATTGTCTGCATTTGGTATATCGTGGTTATAAGGGCCCCTTAATTAAACATGATTTGTCACTAAGCCATTTATTTTATATATTTGGGATTGCTTCAGCTCATTCAATGCTCCTGGTACTAAAGTACATAAAAATATTTGCTAGCCATGTGGAATATAATTTAATATATGTATCAATTTTATATGGCAATTGGCTCCAGACCGCCCAAACTTATTTATCTTGTATAGTTCTTAACAATTTCTGTATCTACTTACACACTGCTAGTCGTTGTACGTAATGATCTTTCCTCTTTCCACTTTCTCCAATAATATTCTGCCCTCGACTTTAGCTGAGAAGCCTGAGATGTTACTGAACGGCTTGTGGTTTGGAGCTCGATCTTGACCTGATCCTTTATTCTTCCCTTTAGGAGCCTTTGTTTAACACATCTCGACTCTTTACGCTTTTTTTACGCAGGTAAACAATTCTGTGCAGCCATTGTTAATGGCACTGGGATTTTAACATCCAGACGGCTGCGCATCCCACTGGTAACAAGTGCGCCACTCGCTGTGTGGAAATGCTGGTCAAAATGCGCCATTTCGACCGGCTTTGCGCAAGGTTACCACCAAAAGCTTTACACAATTGTCTTTGTATTGAACTGTCATGTGCGAAACGCTGTGCAGCAAAGATTATGCGAATTTCCCGCTCGCGCACTATTGTAATTGGGCTTCGGTCATTATTCCCCGGTCGGGGAAATGTCCCCCATAGGCTGTGTAAACATTCTCTCGTGTCTGTTTCATCAATGTAATCGAGTAAGCAAGCCATCTTTACGTTTTTAGCACAACTATGAAGGGAATTCATTTCTAAATTACTGGGTATACGTTAATATACCCAACTTGTGCTCTACACGGTAGCTTCTGGACAATATGGATTTTGTTTCTACTGTGGCCTCCGTACAGAAGAAATATGATACAACGAATGCCTGCTGCGAAAATCTTTTGCAACCAATGGAATCAGGAATGAGGTCGTTGAGCTGGCGTTCAATTAATTATAAGCTACATATATTTTGAACTGTATCGTATCGAAGTTCGAAGTCCTCTCACAACGCTTAGCTCTCACTCACCAATTCAGTTCTGGCTAGCTGTAATTTCAACATGACTACCAACGTTTCTCTGTCAGATCAGTATGTTTTGCTGCTGCAAAATGTTGTACAAGAGAACAGGCTTCTGAGAGAACAATTGTCGAACACTGTGAGCAGTAATGAAAATGCGCTGAATGATATCAAGACGCAGATGGATATTTTGGTCAGAACAAACACCAGCTCAAGACGAGTCAGGCAGACTGGGCAAAATACACAGAAGGTGCCCAAGGCTTGTAGTGTAAGTAAACGTTTTGAAAGTAATGTTTTGGTATATTTGTTCATATCTTTTGAAGAATATACGCCAGACAAATGCAATGTTTCATATGATGATTGCAGTAAGGCGTCATAAAATTTGAAATTTTCGCGCCAAAATTGAAATTAGTTTACACATACTGTATAATTATAGTCCATAATTTCTGATGCTAGTCTCTTAACTGTCAATAGATCTTAGAAGTGCCCATGTCATGCAATTTTTAATTTAACTACTTGTTCCAACCTATACAACTAAGGCCTTGTTTTAATACATGAGACCGGGACAAAGTCAACCGGAATGAAAATTGAAGTTGTCAACATGTTTTCATGAAACTGGTATGAAAATCACAAATCTTTGATGTATTCCCCTTGCCAGTCAATTGCCTTTTTTAGATGGCTAATTTTGTTAGCACATGTTGTTCTAATATCAAGGTTACAGCCGAGACCGTTCTAAAATGTATTTGTGTTTTCTTTACCCTGAGAGCAGAGCCTGATTTCCCCTTGCGGCATAGGCAGCCCAAAAATGTGTGTTAAAATTTTTAAGCCCTGTGCATACTAGGAAACATTGTTGTGGAAACATTTGTGATTCTCAATGTTTCCGCACATGTTTCCCTGTTTGCCCACCCGTGGAAGCATTGTTGTAGAACCCGAGAAGCAAAAATGTTTCCTAGCAAATTCAGAAACATTTGATGTTTCCCTATGTTTCTCACTAATGTTTCCTAGTGTTTGCCCACTCTGGGAAACAAGGTGAAACATTGGTAGGAAACAATGTTTCCACAACAATGTTTCCTAGTTTGCCCAGGGCTTTACCCTCGCACATGCCGCTCGGGCATGCATCGAGTTTACTTTGTTTATTATTATGACAAGGTTGGCAAGAGTTTTAATGGAAATTTATTACAACGTTTACTAGAGTATTAATATTTTGCAAATTACAAGCAAAAACAAAATAAAATGTACATTGTTTTAAGCACTGGTAATTCTCCCATAATTTATCATAATAATAATAAACAAAGTAGACTTGATGCATGCCCGAGCGCCATGCGCGAGGGTAAAAATTTTAACACACATTTTTTACCTGCCTATGCTTGCGGAAAAAATAAGGCTCTGCCATTTTTGTGTTTTTGTTCATGCAAAATTCTGGACAAAGTAAAGCGGTAGTGTAAACGTCTATTATAAATAATACTATGACCGAAACAAAATGGTTCCGATTTGACTTTGTTCCGCGGTCTCATGTTAATGGTCCAAGAGATGACTGAAACGACTTAAGGAACCCTAAGGGAATGTGGGAAAGATTTGGGACAAGTTACTGTATGTCAGCACTTCAAAAGTATACAGCTATTTCAATTATTAAAGGTTGTCATTGACAATATAGTTGAATGTACAATATGTTTAAAACATCAACATAGCCTTGTGGGATTACAGATATAGTAATTAGAACACCTGATAATTCCCATCATTCTTTCGCACTCATATTGGACATTTGACTATTGTCGCTGACAACGTTAATTGAAATACCGGTAGTACATACCCTAATACTGCAATCTTAACCTACAATATTACTCACTGTATGTAGCTACAGTATGTGCATTGGACCTGCCTACTTTATTTTCTTACTGTACAGTATGTCTAATGGGAGTTGATTTTACCCATTGAAGGACAGTTTTACACTTAAGTCATTGATAAGGAACTACTGTACCTACACTGTGTGATGAAAAATTGGATTTGTGTAGTTTGCTCTGTCTGTGGTGCTTTTTGGTGGTTGAAACAATTATTTGTTTTTGTTGGTGGAAAACACAGTGTTGTGCACATGCTCACAAAGTATATTAATGTTGTTTTTATGTAATTACTAGAATAATGTCAGAAGAAAGCTCAAGGCAATAAAAAATGCAGATGAAAGTTTGTGCTTTAAATTAAATGAAAGGTAGAGTATGTGAGGCACAACTTTGCATGTTTTCATGAAAAAATGTATTACCGGTATTTTTTATTTTGAAATTTGTAAACAACATCCTGATGAAAAGGCATGGTCATTTGTCCAAAAAAGCTCTGTGAGTGATTTTGCCTATAATATACTGTTTCAGCCAGAAGACAATCCACCCAGTCGACATCTCTCTAATTAAATGATTGGTGTGACACATTAGTATTGCAGACTAAATTTACTGCTGGAGGCCATTTTATAGGCCGACTATGATCAAAAGGTTTTTTTGTAAGCCGTTGTTGTATTTAAACCATCCTTTGAGAATCCTTGCTTATAATATCTTATTCATATTGGAAATGTACCAAACGAGGTATTTTTTATCATTATTTGTTACTGTAATTTTGGGTAAGAATATAACAAAGGCCAGCAATACCATAATGTGACACTAATCCTTTTAGTACACTGTACCAGGTACTGAAAGCATCTGGGTGAGGATATAATATTAACTGTAAATTAATAAAAATCTAAAAGTAAAAAGATGTTAAATTTAATATTTATTTGGCTTTTAATTTTCAAATTTACATAGCCCGGAATCTCAGGAAAATGCCCGACTGTTTAGCAGGCTAGTACAAGAATTGTACCATGAATTTGGTGGACAGGAAAATTGTCCTTGGTCAGCTGTTGTTCTGAAAGGTATGGTTGCTTGTATAATTAATGAACTTTAAATTTAAAGTACATATACACAAATGACGAGAAAGATAATATATTCTTTAGACCGATTTTGAAAACTTCCAGAGATATTTTGAGGCAAACATGCCAAAAATTATGTTTTTAAAATCATGGCTGGGAAAAAAGAGTCGGAGTGCGAATGGCCCCTATGACGTCAATACTTTCATAGAAAATAATCAATATAACCACAGACAAAATGCCTTTGTATGCGATTGTCCAACTTTCCAGATCGTGCGAATGGCTTAATACAGTAGTGCACAGCTACCTCATTTTTTGCGTTGTCGGGTCAAAGACATATATTTCAGATTTTAATACACAATACAAAGTTGATACGGTTACGAAATGGTTTGGGCTTTGTGATACGTTAGTTAATTTTACTTTATAGAAAGCCGCGAATGCTGATTGAGCTTTTGCAAACTAGCTATTTGTTCACTGTGGAAAATATGTTCATCCAAACAATGGCTAGTATACAGTGTCTGAAGCTAAGAAAAGACTCGCCTTCTCACTTGTTTTGCGAATACTCAATGGCGATTTCCTTGAAATAAAATTAACTAAACTGCATGCATAATGGAACACAAAGCCCAATTTGCTTTATAACAATAGAAACATGACGACGCGAAAAATCGCAAATTACATATTTACGTACAATGGTACATGGCATTTGGTATTTGCATATTTGGACACTTGGTTGATCATGGGTTGAAGTAGTCTATAAAGTCTCTAAAGTTGAAGTAGTCTATAAAGTCTCTCTGGATCAATACAGTCAGATAAGCAACCGAGTTGTGGTTCTTTTGGGTAATTTGGTCGTTTTCAGTTGCACATAGAAAACTATAAATCTGAAAATGTTTTAACTGAGAATGAGATGTTGAAGTTCCTGCAGTGAAATATAAAACAATTGATTTCTCACATTACAATACGTTTGATTGTTCTGACTGTTCAGCCTTTGAGCCTTCGGTCTCGTGACTCTCGTCTGCTGAAAATACCGATGGTAATCACTGTATCCCTATAATAATCGCACTGGTGACTTATATGTGTTTTATCTCTTGGCAAAGTCACCATCCTGACAAAATTCTCCGACTTGAAATGTTTGGAATATAATATTTTTGCGCATTTGAGCTTCACGAAATCTACCCAGCGTTTTTGTCTTTTGATAGCCCCTGCATGCCTTATGTACATCGTAATCGCGAGGTACTTTGTGCACTATTATGCCATTCGCACGAACAATCGCATTCAAAGACATTTTGCCTGTTGTTATATTTGATGATTTTACTGTAAAAACAACACGAGTGTAAATATGAGTTCCATATTTGACGTCATAGGGGCCATTCTTTTTTCCCAGTCATGATTTTAAAAACCTATTTTTTGGCATGTTTGCCTCGAAATATACCTGGAAGTTTTCAAAAACGATCTAAAGAATATATTATCGTTCGATTCCTCTCGCTACCGCCGACTTTTTGGCAAAAAAGGTAATTCGTGTATATGCATTGCACTTTAATGATATGGGGATTCAGAGGAATGTTCACTTAACATTAAACCACAAAACAGTTAAGGTACACGAATTTAGCAGAACAAACTGTATATCATTAAAAAATTGCTTGTCGTACAAAAATTATTTGGATAGTCAAAGATTAGCTTTCGATAGTCCCAATAATTTTTGCATGCTTTATTCATTCTACAGCCAATGGTAGCATTACAAACCTGAGATAGCGGGTATCGTTATTGAACTGGAAGTATATCCAGCATTTTATGGGAATTTAGTATAAAATTAGAGTCAGAAACCAATGCCAATGTAGTTATACTTTCTACTTGTTTTTTAGAAGCATTCAAGAGGTACTATAAGTCCTGTAAGGCGAAGGAAAAAAGAATTGCCAGTGGGCAAAACGAACAACATGTGCGAAATTGCAGGCGGAGGAGCAGAAAGGAAGAGGTGTGTTATTTAGTATAATCCCACACTACTTTTATTTGCACTCAAATTTCACTTGTCCCTGGAGAGTTTTGCCACTCAATAGCCGCTTCCCCTTATTACGTATTCTGAATACAACTACCATGATACTTTGCGGGTATTTTCTTCATTATGCAATAACACATCCGAAAAGCATGCTGGTAGTTGTATTCAGAATACGCAATAAGGGGAACCGGCTATTGTTTGACAAATTTATCTACCAATTTCTCTTTGACCCAATGTCTGGCAATTAATTTACCCAAATACACCCAATATATTTTATTCTTTTATCCTTCATGCCCGACAATTTTACTAAGGGGGAGGATGTCAATTTGAACGATAGTCCTGTTTTCCTCTCCTGTCACTCCGTCTTCGTGCTATCGTTAGTTTAGGTGTTGCATGCAAGTATCCTGTATTAATTTGTAATGTGACATATTTCATTAAACTAAACTAAACTAAACTGACTTGTCAAGGCCAAGGGAAGAGTTTTGCCACTTAACCTACAGTACATGTAGTATCTGCTAATTTCGTTTGTTAACCAATTGAGTTGTAATTCGTGCAAATGTGTTCTACGTACACTACAGTACCTTATTCTTTTACTCTCTCTCTAACACCAGTTGATCCATAAAGTAGTCTATAGCTGCTTAAATAATGGATCAATTAACAAATCTGTTTGCCAGTTTCTCTTGTTGACGTACCCATCGAGTAGTATTATTTTACCAAATGCGCCTTATTGTAATGCCAGACGACTTTACTTGTTAAGGGGAGAGTCTTGTCACTTAAAAGTAAAAGTAAAAGGTTGAATGATGCTATATTATCCAATTGTTCTTTTTTTAGAAACTGGCACGAAGACTGAAGCATCTCAACCATGTTGACTGGAGCCAGAGGAGAGTGGCAAAGGTGGCTGATGTTCTGAGAATGGACTTTATGTCATCGGAAGAGAGTGAGGTGGAAGAAGAAACCTTGAAAGTTAAACAGTATAACGTTAGAAGGTTTGCTTGGGAAAGCCGAGAATTAAGGCGGTTAAAGAGAAAGCTCGACCAAAGCCATCAAGACTCGCTTCCTGGCCTGTCTAAACGGGTATTTATTCCAAGGGAGCAAGGAGAACTGTCCAGTAAGCCGAAGCCAGCCAACTGCCCAGATTGGGCATGTGTTGTGGAGAATGCGCCAACAAATGCACAAGACGAAACGCCTGATGACTTGGATGCTACTGCAGATCTGAATGTTTCCCGCTGAACTTTCGTTTTAGCTACTTTATATAGCCTATCTTCTATTTTATTTACTATAGTCATGAACAATGGACTTCATTATCGTGTTTCGTACTTTAAGTAAGATTTCTGCATGTGTTATATTTGCAGCTACAGTAAATGCATCAATGTTCTCTTTCGACGAACGGGAAAAGCTATAATTCTATAAAACAAATTAAGTCAAGTGCGAAAAGTACTGTATTATGAAAAGAAATTGCACTATTCGTTTTCCTTTTTTTAAATTTACGATTCATCAATGCCAATCGCGTTCAGCTTTGTCCACGAGCGTGATGCATTTAATTAGTTACATAAATTATAGGTATATTGGTCACACAATTTCGGAAAGGTGTACAGTTAAGCCCCGAACGAGGACATAAGTCCATCGCAAGTTTTTGCTTGTGCTTGATTGTACCTCGTTTTACCGTCCACTTGTGATGACTTGCGACGATTTTGAATTTGTTCAAAAAATTTTAAAACTTGACATCTTCTGAACGTTTTGTGAACATGCGCACGGACTTGTGCATCATTCTTTCACCAGTCCCACGCAAATTTTATACAAAAGTCACAGCAATTTAGAATTGCGCTGGACTTGCGTCTCGTTTGATCCGGGCTTTATGTTACTGCATGCATGTATATAAAATATATTTATATAAACGGTATAGACACGTGTTTGGGGTAGGCAAGATACAGTTTGAATTCGAACTTATTGTTTTAATACGCAACAACACCAATTGGCCAAGTAATGACTGCTAAATAATATGCAAATGCATTTCGTATTTATTAATTCATACTGTACATACACGGGGTTATAGTTGTTACAATAAATGTATTAAAAAAAAACGCGTTCTTGTATGTATGTTTTAATTTAAACCGTTATTTATGCCGCACTCAATTTCACAATTATCGTTTTATTGCATGTTTTACGATATGTACATGCCTGCATGCATGAAATTTGAGTCGCATTTATGCAAGCATTGATATGCATGCATCAAAAGATATTCTCAAAAGCGCGATATGAAATTCAAAGCTCAAAACCCGTGCATATATATAT